TCAATTTCCATGGCAAGGATCCTAAATTACCTTGACAGGACTGAAATTAACATCTCATTTTACTAGGTTGAGAATTAGTTAAGCACATGTAAATCAGGAACACCATGCTTTCTCCTTTTTTAAAGGTAAGGTAATTTCAATTATCATTTATTACTAAGGTGGAAATTATGAACGATTAGCATTCCTGGCCCTGCTTTTAGCTCAGGGTTAATCAGTGGGTCGGAAAACCACTGTTCTAAATTTCAGAGTGCTTTACTTTCCACTTCTATGCTCTGTGCTTTTAAGAGTCGTAATTAGACATAGCTACTCTAGCAGCAGTGTGATTCACCAAAAGCAATTCAGTAAAAATGACAGCTTTTGGAATAAAAGTAATTATAAAACTAGGGGAGTTTTTCAATGCATTTGTTTTTGAGGCCTCTCTCTAGCCTCAGAAAGAACATTTTTATACTTTTGAGGACCCGCAAGAACAAAAGGCTTCTTTCTAATTGAGTAACAGAAAGCCTACTAGGCATAGGTTCCGGTTCAAACTAAACAACATTTTGAGAAAATTAATGACTAATACTAATTTGAAGCATTTCAGAACTCCCTAGCAGAGTACCTGATATGGAGTAGGCATTATTAAAAGTTAATTGAAAAGAAAAATTATCCTGATGATCATTTATACAGAGATTTGCCACTTTGGTAAATTTTTCAGAGTTTGTTGTTTATTATTCTGTTATAAATCCATCTGCCTAAACATTCACTTGTTAGAATAATTACAGATTTACTCTTGAAGTGCTATCTGTGGCTTCTGTTTTTCCTGCTCCTGCCAATGCTAGTGAACGTGACACCCACATCACAGTGGAAAGCAGTCCTACCTCTTCCATTCTATTCTCAGGTTTATTTAATCTACAGGCTCTAAGCTGGACATTAAAAAAAAAAAAACTATATTATTAGAAAGTAATTGTAGATTGATCAAATAGTTGATCTGTGACTCAGCATCTTTTACTCTGATTGCCAAGATCCAAGTAATTGTGTGAGAAGGAGTGTCTGACTCCTCGAAATAGTCTAGATTTTATTCTTGGATGGAGCCAGATAATCAGAGAGCTATGTACCTAAGCTGTGTTGTCTTAACTCCTCAGAGAATTGCCTCTGATGACACATGCTTTGGCTAATCCCTCCAGCCCGCATGAGGGGCTTCAAAGAACAGCATGTGACACTGGCAGTGCATGGATAGACTGCACTGACTTTGGGGACGCTCAGAACCTAGACCTAGACGTGGAGACATTCACCACATCTCTCTCCAGAAAATCCAAGGGAGAAATTTTTCCAGGTGAAACTGTTTCATCTGGACCAACTATTTTGTTTTTACTTTATAGATACTATAAATCCATCACCGTTAAACGTTAACTTATAATTGGCAATATAATATGTACTAGTAAATATCTGTTGAATGAATGGACTCCCTCTATGCTCTGACCGCTGGCTGAGAGACATAAGTATTCCTGGTAGAATTAGCTGCTATAAGCAGGCCTGCTGGCATTGAGTTCTGCTTCTATCCCTGGCTTCACTTTATCTTCTGGGATAAATTTTATCTTTATTAATTTACTCATTCATTTCACCCTGTAAATCACTTTATATCCTTTCCTGGAAAAGCAAGATGAGATAAAATGTTTAAGATTTGATTGTAAAATCCTACACAGTTTACAGTGACAATATAGCCTTGGCTAAAATGATTTTAAACTTGTCTGTTTTCTATTCCTCTTCTGTCATCCCCTCAATTATGGTTGAGTTATTTTAAAATTTTCTACTTTCAAAATATATTATTAATTTACTTTGACACTACTATTGAACTGGTTCCTCTTCAAAGGCAAGGAAGGATGTTACAGTATTTTATCTATCTTTGTATGTCCACAAAGAACCGACATACAGCTGGATCAATGTTGAAGTTTCTCTAAGAGCTAGAGTCATTTTGGAAAATGAATGAGAAAGATATTTAAATTTAAAATTGTGAAGAAAGGCTAAATACTAATTTAGATTCTCTGGAGAAAAATTCAGCATGGGTAAGACCGAAAAGGCTTTATTTGAAATAAAAATCAGCTTTGCGGTGATTTAGTGTTTGTCTGCAAGATGGAAAGTGAGGGGAACTATCAGCTCCTGGGTGCTCTGGTATCTATTTTGGCATCAAGAATTCTCTTCCCAGTTAAGTGAACACTACTCTCACACTCTTTATTACATTTCTTTCTAGGACTCAACAGAGATGGAGCCTAATACCAAACATTTAATTCAGTGCCTCTAAAACTAGACTAAGCTCATGCCAGGATGAGTTTCTGTGCTGGTTTGTTTTCTCTGTTTGTAACCCATAGTCTTGCCACAAGAGAAAATGACAATTCTAAGACCTTTTTGATAAACATCAGTTTCCTTACTAGCATCATAACTGTTTTTTAAATCCTTGATTCCTTTTTATATTTATCACATGAAAATAAATGATGCTATAAACACCATAGACGCAAACTGTAAAAAAATACAAATGGACAAGGATGACAAGGGGAAAAGAAAGTACCATGGATATTCTTAAGCTAAACATGACACCTACTCCTCTAAGTGGCTGTCTAAATGTTTTGATCAACCAGAATACCTTTTCATAGACTTTTAATTTAAAAACAGATTAATAGGACCACTAATTGACAGTGAGAGTTGTTTTCTTATACAGATATTTTGCTGTAAAATATTTATGGTAAAAAAGATTTGATGTGTTCTATCCTCTGAGGATAAGTATGCTTAATACTTAATGCTGGCACCAGTCCCCCAAAGAGCTAATGCTGGCTCCAATCACAGGGCTCCCAAGAGTTATGGAAAAGAACCTGTTAGCTTGAAATACTGGTTTGAGAAGACAGCCAGTGGAGTGAAAAAATGGAAACGCAGAAGAATATGAACAGCATGATCTCTAAAACAAAAACAAAAAAGTACTTATATGATTGTGAGAGAACGGTTATGTCTGTCCAGTGTGTGCCTCTCCCACGCCCAATCTCCTTTCTGATTAAGTTTTCTTTCCTATAGGGAACCTCTTGTGTCTTAGAGGTACACTAACCCCATCTCCCACCATGAGTGGACATATGACTCAGACCTGGTCAATCAGAGACATCCTGTGACTATTCAGTGAGACTTGTCAGGAATGGCTTCTTCTTTCCTTTGGAGTTGCTATAACTGGTAGTACTGCTGGAGGCTATTCCTTTTTCTTTACCTCCACGAAGAAAAATCTGAACATGAAGCCAAGCTGAAGCAAGCAGGACCAAGAACCAGAGACAAAGCCCTGAAGACACTCTTTGAATCCTTAGAGCCAGTTGTTCTTAATTACACAATTCAATATATTATAGTGCATTGGGGACTGAGGAAGAGTCTTAACTTTGAGTTTAAACTGGATTTCAGCAATTCTTTTCGAAAAATTTTCTAATACAAGAACAATCATAGATGCCACAGTGCTGGCTTTGAAGATGGAGGAAAGGGTCTAAGAGCCAAAGAATGTAGGCAGCTTCTAGAAGCTAGAAAAGGTGAGGAAACACAGCCTCCCCCTAGAGGTTCTGGGAAGGAATGCAGCCCTGGGGATGTCTTGACTTTTTGACCAGTGAAACACATGTTGGACTTCTACAGAACTGCAAAGATAATAAATGGGTGTTGTTTTAAGCCACCAACAATAATTTCCAAATACAGAAAGATGTAGAAAGTTTCTAGAAGGATTCCAGTGTTATTCCTGTGGATGGAAATGAGAGTGAAAGAGGAAAGGGGGTATAATTTTTTTAAAAACAATAAATATGTATTATTTTCATTAGTTTGAAAAACTAACTTTAAACATATTTAAGAGTGGAACCAGAATAAAAATCTAGAATCACAGGTATTATCACCCACCTAGGAGAGTCAGAATAGTAGCTGCTTTACAAATTCAACAGGGCAGCATGGATGTGGCTCATGAGGAATTCTAACTAGCGCCATTATTGTGCTATTTAACACAAGGGGTCAGCCAGTGAGCCGACACGCCCCACTTCACACCACACACCTGGTCAAGCCAGGTCCATCCAGTAAGCCCAGTCCCACTGCAAGGCTTCTCCTACTTGGAGGGGCCAGGGCATAACTTTCACATGTACTCTTGAAGCTGATTTTGGGAGACAGGACTGGGGAAGGCAGGGAAGAGAAGCCAGAATAGTAATTGGCCTGCAATTTAGCACACTTTTCAATAGAAAATCAGCAAATTGCCAACAAATTGCTATGCTAATGAAGAACTGCCCTGCTCTGCAATGAGTATTTACTGTAAGAGAAAAGACAACTTATTAATGCCACTCTGTAGAACTAGCTGCCATTCAAGAGATCCCCTACTGAATTTTAAAAGGCTTCATGTAGAGGAAACGGGAAAGCATGAGAGCTGGCTGCTCTGGTCATGTTTCTCTCCAGTCATTCTCTTATCCAGGGCTAAAGACAAAATGCCAGAGAGGAAACTGGTCTACTGTGCAAGTCGATTGTGGTTTTCTACTAATGAATGTCCAGTGTAGCAGTTATATGCAAAATGTTCAAATACTTTCAAAAAGAAAAATGTCTGCCCCTCCCACCAATAACTATCGAATAAAAAATGGTGGCTCTTACATTGAGTGCACACCATCTCCAAATTCATTTAATTTTACTTGGACAAGAGAAGTAAGTCTGGTACATTCTGCCAAGCCTGGAGAAAGGATGGTCCATTTAGCTACATATAGAAATACAGAATTCTTTTTGGTCTGTCTCAGAGTGATATCTCAGAAGTATATACCCAGAGTATAATGGCAACAAAACAATGCAGCCCAAACCACTTCACTGCTGTTCAGCCTGGTCATTCATAAGGAGTGACAGAGAGGGTAAAGGAAAGGCCATAATCTGTTCTAGGGACACTGCTGCTTCAAACCAACAGGAGATTTAAATTTCTATTTTCCTCTTTTCCACCTTCTTTTCTTCCTTCCTCCTCTTAATTTAAAAGGGATACAGCTACAGAGAAGAAAAATACCAAGGTCAGAGGCCCAGCCTCATGTATAATGTTTAATGGATATGAATAAAACATACTAAGGATGTGAGTAAGTCAGATCTCTTTGGCCTGTGCCATTTATCTACCAGGAATAAACTAAAGTCAACTATAGATTCAAATTTAAAGACAAAGGTTAATTTGACGATTCAGGCAAAAAAAAAATTTCATATATAAAGTAGAATTTTTAATTGTTTTTTGCTCTAAAAGCAAAAATTTTAAACATTATAAGTTTATTAAAATAGAGTAGTTTCAGATTTCACTTACTGTAGGTAGAATATCTTTTAAAAGACTTCAATGGAGGTTACTATTGCATTGTAGTCAGAGACCCTAAAAACGAATTCTTAAAAGGCTTTTGAGTGACCTTATTATAAGTGTACAATTAGCTCCTTCTTTTAATTTCTAAAGTCTAGTTAGGGTCTAAGTCCCTCCCCACACCAAAAATTAAAATAAATGTTTTAATAACAATATTAAATTGATCATTTACTCGACATTGTGACACGAATAAAAATAACAATTTGAGTAATACCACCAAGATTACAAAGCATTTTCCCAAATGTAAGTCTCAATCTTTGTAACTGTGTAACATATACAGAATGCATATTACTGCTCTGCTTTACTAATGAAAGAAAAAAAAATTTCCCTGAAACATGCCACCTCTGACTGTCACCTGCCAACTAAGGGTCAGATTCCTTGCTTGGCAGCAAGTGATGAGTCACTTACCAACACACAGGATGTTGAAACAGAATCCTTGAGAAGTAGACTTGTTGACCAGCTGGTCAGGGAGACTGTCAAATCCAACATGGCCAGAAAGGGATAAGTTTCGAAGCTCTTCATTCTGGAATTTCAGAAGGGAAACATTTGAGAATCCATGAACTGTGACACCTAGGTATCAAACGTTTTGCACATTACCTTCTCCCTTCTTCTCCTCTTGACATACGTGGAAATAGGAGCTACCCTACCCCTCTGTACCCACACTCTCGCTGGCTTCTACACAACTGAAGGTTCTACACAGCTCCAACCCCACTCTTACCACAAAATCGCACTGACTCCCAAAGTACACTATCTCCCCAGGTACCTCATTCCTTGTTACACATGTACTGACCCAGGAAAAATTGAGCTTCTAGAGGTGACTTTTTCAGGTATGCAGTAAGAGACATAAAAAACTGTACCCACTTTGATAGCTTTGAACACAAGAAAAACTTTCATATTATTTTCGACTCAGAGCATAACACTCTTCCAGGCACATGAAGGAGCCCTGAGAAGCTCACAGTGGAGGGTACATACTTGTTACAGTAATGGAAATACTGTAACCACCATAATGCAACATATTTAAAACTACTTGGCACATCAATTGTTCCCATCTTCTCCGTTAGGGGTACAGGCTTCTTGGGGCTTTTCTGTCTCCTCTACACAGCCCCTAGCATAGGCTCTTCACCCAGCCTTCTCAAAGTTTACTGAAGAAGACTGGGTTAGCTAGTTATTGCACATTTTAAAAGTTGGGTGATTTATGCTGTTTTATAAGATGGTGCTGACTGCCTGCACGACTTTGAAGGCATCCCATGGGTGTTGGAGATAATCTGTGAAAACCTTTCTTTCCCAGAAAAAGAGGTCACCTATGGTCCTTCGTTTACAATTCCACAATATGAATTTGGGATTTCAGAAACTGGATATTGAAAGCCTTCTTGAAAACAAGACTACTGGTGTTCTGGCTGTGTTGCCAATGAACTTTATATTCAAAATACTGAAGTTGTGGTGAGAAAGAAGCCTCAAAACTACATTTTTTTAATAAAAAATAAAAAGCTTTGCATAGAATGGCTTAGTCACTATTTTTAAAAATACTGGTTTTCATTAAGCTCTTATTTGTGTTATATAATGGTGAGTGATTTCTTTTAATAATCAAGGACTGAGACTCCATTTCCAAATGGCTATTGTCACTATATAGGCAGAGAAATGTGACTCCCTAAATGTAGTGATTTTAATGGAATGTTTTATGAACAATATATTGTCTAAGGTCCTTGCCAGCAGTAAAGTTCTGATTCAGAGAAATAAGACTAAAAACCACCATACTGATTAAATACCATGGTGGCAGCTGCAGGTTTGAGGTCAATGGGACAGAGAACAGATGCCTGGTCTATGAATAGTTCCCTTGAAACCTGCCAACACTGAATATGAGCCTCAAGAGTAGGCACTTATCCTTGAACAGGATGGCATGGTCGACAGCTCACCAAACAGCTTCCGGAGCAGACCCCAGTGGGCAGCGGTCCTGGTAGCTGGCCTGGGCTCCCAAAACACCACTCAACCCTAATTCCACTTGCCCCTTCCTCTTCAGATACCTCAGAGGTTCAGAGAGCAGGTATTTTTAGGGTGTTTACCACATCCGACAAGACTTGGGGGAGGAGGATTTGAAATGAGTGTGGGTTATATTTAGAAGTCTTTCCATCACAGCTGTGCAGTGGCTGCTGTGTATCAGGCTAAGAGAAGCCACAGCAGCCTTCGTTTCAGTCGCATCACTGACCTGAATGGTCAGCGAACGTCACGAAAGGAGACAAGACAAGAAGAAGCATCATCCCACATTCCCTCTCCTCTCTGCCACAATAATTCTTTTCGTTTCCGGGGGCAGGACGGGGCAGTGGTTTATTGCTCTAAATTCTGGACTGTTGGGTTTTTAGAATCAGATATCCACCCATGAGCCAATCCTGGTAAAGAATCAGAGTTAGTAATTATAGCTCTCATCCCAGAACCCAACGCTCAGCATCTCATATTCTCACCATTTCCAAAACACGAGAAACCACCCACACACCCACTGAGTATTTTTATACCCACTGAAAACCACATACAAAATGAAAGGTTATGAAACAGTTTGGTCTTGAAATTTCTTAAATTTGAAGTTATGTCTTCAGAGCCTCTGTCTTCTAACTTTAATATAAAATATGTAGATTTCATAATGCCGTTTTAAAATTCCATAATCTGAGCCTAATCCTCTGCCCAGTATTAAAGGAATCCTGAGAGTTACTGCCCATCAGTATGTGATGAGGAAAAGGGAAATATCTCCTTTGGTCCATGAACAGGCTTAAAGACTGGGAAGCACTGTAGGGAATGTGAGGAGAGGCTCTAACTCACACACAGCAGCTGAATCAAATTCCTACCCTCCAGCATTTTAGGTACCATGTTTATTGCTCATGCCTTAGCTGTCTCTATCCAAAGAAAGTGGAGTCTCTTTTGAGTCTACGGGCGTGGTCTCAGGGAATCTCATATATTTTCATGTCTTCACTACTCTCAGAATTGACTCTGGAACTTTATCTCTAAAGCTGAAGTCTTGGCCTGCATTCCAGTTCTGAATTTCTATCAAAGGGGCAGTTCTCTTGGGTTGTCCTATCTGTATCTCAAACTGACATTCATCAAACTGAAATCATATTCCTCTATCCTAAACCCACTCTACCCCAGAGTTCCCTATTTCTGTTAATAGCACTTACCTACGCTTGAGACCTACCTACCACCTGTATCGATTCCTAGGTGCTATCAATACTATATCTTCCTCTCTATTCCTACTAATTCGATAGCCTCCAAGCTGGTCTTCTTGCCTTGATCCCATTTCCTATAATCGTCCACCTGTTGCCAAAGGGATCTCGGTACCCAAAGGCCCTCAGTGCAAACTCCCAGGACCTCCAGGGGCTAAACTCAAATCTCCATTCCCACCCGAACTCCTACTTCTCCCCAAGAAGCACCTTACACTGCATTTCAACTGGATTACTTACCCTTCCTGGGGCAATCCCAGGTTTCTCCCCATCAGAGTTTACTCATACTATTTCCTCTACCTGGAAGGGCCAACGTTTACATATCCAAACCTTCTAGATCCCACTGAAATTCTATCTCCATCACTGACTTTATTATGAAATTTCAGGGAAATTTTCAGTCAACATTCTCCTTACCAATAAAAGGAAAATAATGACTGAATAAAGGCAGCTCAAGCTATTTGGTATTCCGTGATCATCATTGTAAGGGCTAACATTTATTGACCATTTCCAACATTCCAGAAAAGTCCTGAACATGAAGAAACTAGTTAATTTATCTTAACAATTCTATGAGGTAGTTACTATTATTACCTAATCTCAATTTACAGATGAAAACACAGAGGCACAAAAGTTTAGTAACTTGCCCAAGTAATGTAGGGAGAAGGCAAGAGACTTTAAAATGTTAAGCAAGCCGCATTCAGTGACTGCAACATGCTGATCAGCCCTGCAGCCAGGCCGGCAGGATACCTTCAGAACAAAGGTAGATTTCTGCTGAGATTGCTAACAACCCATTCCCCACACCTGTGAAGGGGACACAGGAATCAAGAGTCATTCCCTATGGCTAAAACCACGGGAGAATCTATGGATTAAAGGCTGCAAACTGCCAGCAGGCTTTTCACTCTATAAGTATTTTCACGCTACATACTC